ACACTGACATCTCTATGTTTGAAAAAATATGGAAAAAGTACAAAATGTCAAATGGAATTTCTGTATGGGAAATTTGCTCATGAAGCATCTTTCATTCGAAAATGTTATTTATATGGAAAATATTGAGTGATATGCGAAAATCTGATACTCAGGTAGGAGATGAACACGGGTTTCACGTCTTCCGGGAATGTGCGATACGACTACACCACTGAGGCCATTGACCAATTATTACTCCTACTCCAATACAAGTTTACAAAATGGGAGGTATAGTTGGTATCTTCTTCTATATATTAAAGTGGTCAGTCCGAAAATGACTAAATAGCGGACAATTCTAGCACTCGAGTGTGGAAGAGTCTCATCGTTTCTCTTACCATTGCTTTGTTGTATACTTTGTTGATTAAGCCAATGGCTCAAAGTTGATGACCATAAATAGAGGTGAAAATGTTAAAACATTAGCTGAATAAATTTATTGCTATCAACCTCATGTTCCTGATTCAATTAATTACAAATAGACGATGGACTAATGATGCCAAAGTTGAAGGAGTGTCGGTTTACAAATTACTCCTTTTTGAGTAGGAGAAATGCCTAGTATGAAATGATGCACAGAAAACTGTTTCAAAAACAATAATACTGTTCACAAAAGCGGCAACAAAAACGGTGCACCAACCAGGAGTCGAACCCGGGTCTGCACCTTGGGAGGGTACAATGATACCGCTACACCATTGGTGCTCGGTCGAGAACTGAGCGTTTTCCCACATTTGCTGAACATATTTCCAACACTAAAATAAATTGTATCTCTCGCAATGGGATATTACGTCGAACAACCTAGGTAACAGGTTTGACTGTTCAGGTAGATCACTTCTAGCAATCACAATGGTACGTTACTTTTTGATTTTTCAACCTCAGTAATGCGTGACTAGTGATTCCAGTAAGTTTTGATTTCCAATAGCTCATTAGCTGTAGAATCTTTATGAGAAAAATTTCAAAATGTGATCTTAAAACACCCCAAAATAGAACTATTCTATCTTGATTAAATTATGTCGAACTACTCAGGCAGCAGTTTGAGTGGTCGGTTAGACCACTGCTAAGAACCACAATAATATGTAACTTATGATCTTAGTAACTATTAATTTTTGATTTTCGGCCATAATGACGAGTCACTTTGAATTCTGGTGAATTTCAAATCTTAATAACCAGTCTGCTGTAGAACCTTTATGAGACAAGTTTCACAAGTTGATTTTCAAACACCCTAAAATAGAGCTACTTGATCCTTTGCGGACAGCAGTTGTAATCGCTACGCTTAGCGCTAATCATAAGAACAGAGCGATTTCCGTCAATAAATCGAAAGTTTCTCTTTTCGGTTCGAAATCATTTCTAAGCTTTCGCCATTCTTTGATGGAACCATGTTTCTACATACACCGCCCCATGTATACTGTACATATAAAACTCTTCAGTGTAAAGAAAAAGCATCCGTTCACTATACAAATGCGCTGCTGCTAGCGTTCAGTCATTTGTGAAGAAGTTCTACGAAGCATATTACAATATAAGGAATTTATTTTCAAAATTTTTTGTTCATGGCGATATCGAAAAGTGAAAAGTAGGGAACGAAAATTAGAAGACAATGAAAGTCTTTAGAAAGTAACGTTGCCCACTGTATGCAATGTCACTTTGCCGATAACTTTCAACAATTTTTTAATATTAAGATGCATGGGCGATGTCTGCAGTAAAGAAGAAACTTTCCTAGAAGACTCCTCAATAAAATTCGATTTTTGAGGCATTAAATGCTCCAATTTTCTAGTGTTTTTACAGCATTTTTCGCAGTGTTATGATATTTCATACATAATTAAGAGAACAGAGTGGCGAGTAAAAATACGTATGGATGAATACGAACCCGGAATGGATGAAACGCGTTCATAATACCAAGTGATCTTTCGTCCTGCTTACGTAGGGAACAGGTTTGCCGTTAGGGCAGGGATAATGGTCGAGTCGAAAAGATGGGTACGGAGTCGGATGCTCTTTGTTCTTTTCACTACATCCTGACGCTTTAAAACGTTCCTCAAGCCGCTCGTTTCATCCTCTCAACTCTGGAGTTAGGTCGTTCATTATATTTTCAATCTTTCCACAGCTGTTGTCGAAATCGGACAACATTTCTTCCGCCTGGCTGATGCTTGGTGTTATGAGGGCGATATCATCAGATAAGAGAAGATGGTTCAGTTGCCAACCATCAATTTTCACTCCCATATCGTATCATCCTAATGTTCGCATGACGTTTTCGAGACTGGCAGTGAATAATTATGGCGAAACTGTATCGCTTTGTCGAATGCGTCTCCTTACGTCGATGGTAATAGTGTTGCAGAACAGCGATATTTCGGTTGTGAAATCTTTATATAGCTCATCAAAGATCGTTATGTATCGAATAGGGATGCACTGGTTATCCAGAGCCTTTATAACTGCTTTTGTTTCCAATGAATCAAAGACTAATACTCGAAAATTCTAATATTTTTACTGCTTCTTTCGCAGTGTTATGATGTCACGTATATACCATAGAGAATTGAATGGTGAGCAAAAACATGGCCTCAGCCAAGAATCGAACCCGCGTTTCGCCCAATCGAGGAACGCGTGCTCCACCACTACATCACCGAGGCACATTTGCCTGACTACTTATTCAAAGACTTTCTACAAATCGATGAAAGTGAGACAGAGCGGTTCTTTGCATTCTCATGAATTTTCATTGAGTCTTGTGATCGTGTGGTTATGGTCTATGGTGATAATTCCTTCTCAAAACCCTGCTTGTTCGCATGGCTATCGTTCGTTCAGTGCTCTGTCAATCCTGTTTCGGATGACCCGAGTGAAGAGTTTATAGGCAACGGGCAGCAAGCAGATTGAGAGATGATTGCTTTTGTCGTGAAGGTCTTCCAATATAAACAACAGCACGATCTTGCTCGTTTTCTATTGATTTTGAACCTTGCATTCTGACAGGAAGTGAGTGAAGAGCCGAGCCAGGGTGTTAATGAGAACTGGTGGTAGGTTCCTCAAATGTTCTGGTCTAGCCCTGTCCGAACCAGGTGTTGCTCTATTCTCCAACGGCCATATTACGTCGGATTTTTGGAAGAAGAACCGGTGGCATGACAAATTCATACTCTTTCAATACATATTACGGTAGGAGGACATGACTAGCGAAAAGATCTGAGTAGTAATGGTAGATGATTTTTCCAACGCCCTTCTGGAAGCCGTAAGTGTCCCGTGAGAGCGTCGGATTCCAAGTATCTTGGTCTTGGAGTTGGCGAAGCTTCGCTGTGCTTTGCGAATGCTCTTTCCACCTTTTGCACCTTCTGCCATGATTGTTGCTCGTCTCTCTTTTGGAACCTCTCTTATTCCTCCTCTGCAGTGTTTCCCAAGTTCGGACGTGAGGTTTCGTTTGCCTGTGGCTTGTGCAGCTCCACGTAAACATACCAATTCAAGTGTTTGCGGATGCAAGCGTCTCTTCGTAACGTTAGGACTCCCGGGGCGGAAAGAATGGCGAAAGCTTAGAAATGATAAGGATATGACATATTTTGAGCCATAGCTCTAGTGCTATATAGGCGCCTATTTCGTCCTATTGGGACTCATCAGTAGCACCCTCCCTCGGTTCCGTCGATCCTTGAGGTGAAACAATCCTCCAAAGGAACCGACGCCGAGTAAAATTAAGCACCCAAAGTAGGATGATGTTATTACCTGACTTTGTGGTGACCGGCAGTCGAGCTTACGGCTTTTAAAAACGCAAAAATAGGACGAAATAGGCGCCTATATAGCACTAGACCTATGGCTCAAAATATGTCATATCCTTATCAGATTAAATCATTTTGAGCGGGTCTGTAAAAAAGCAGTCGATAGCAGAAGTATAGTTCATTTTAAAAGCCGTAAGCTCGACTGCCGGTCACCACAAAGTCAGGTAATAACATCATCCTACTTTGGGTGCTTAATTTTACTCGGCGTCGGTTCCTTTGGAGGATTGTTTCACCTCAAAGGATCGACGGAACCGAGGGAGGGTGCTACTGATGAGTCCCAATAGGACGAAATAGGCGCCTATATAGCACTAGAGCTATGGCTCAAAATATGTCATATCCTTATCATTTCTAAGCTTTCGCCATTCTTTCCGCCCCGGGAGTCCTAACGTTACGAAGAGACGCTTGCATCCGCAAACACTTGAATTGGTATGTTACGTGGAGCTGCACAAGCCACAGGCAAACGAAACCTCACGTCCGAACTTGGGAAACACTGCAGAGGAGGAATAAGAGAGGTTCCAAAAGAGAGACGAGCAACAATCATGGCAGAAGGTGCAAAAGGTGGAAAGAGCATTCGCAAAGCACAGCGAAGCTTCGCCAACTCCAAGACCAAGATACTTGGAATCCGACGCTCTCACGGGACACTTACGGCTTCCAGAAGGGCGTTGGAAAAAATCATCTACCATTACTACTCAGATCTTTTCGCTAGTCATGTCCTCCTACCGTAATATGTATTGAAAGAGTATGAATTTGTCATGCCACCGGTTCTTCTTCCAAAAATCCGACGTAATATGGCCGTTGGAGAATAGAGCAACACCTGGTTCGGACAGGGCTAGACCAGAACATTTGAGGAACCTACCACCAGTTCTCATTAACACCCTGGCTCGGCTCTTCACTCACTTCCTGTCAGAATGCAAGGTTCAAAATCAATAGAAAACGAGCAAGATCGTGCTGTTGTTTATATTGGAAGACCTTCACGACAAAAGCAATCATCTCTCAATCTGCTTGCTGCCCGTTGCCTATAAACTCTTCACTCGGGTCATCCGAAACAGGATTGACAGAGCACTGAACGAACGATAGCCATGCGAACAAGCAGGGTTTGAGAAGGAATTATCACCATAGACCATAACCACACGATCACAAGACTCAATGAAAATTCATGAGAATGCAAAGAACCGCTCTGTCTCACTTTCATCGATTTGTAGAAAGTCTTTGAATAAGTAGTCAGGCAAATGTGCCTCGGTGATGTAGTGGTGGAGCACGCGTTCCTCGATTGGGCGAAACGCGGGTTCGATTCTTGGCTGAGGCCATGTTTTTGCTCACCATTCAATTCTCTATGGTATATACGTGACATCATAACACTGCGAAAGAAGCAGTAAAAATATTAGAATTTTCGAGTATTAGTCTTTGATTCATTGGAAACAAAAGCAGTTATAAAGGCTCTGGATAACCAGTGCATCCCTATTCGATACATAACGATCTTTGATGAGCTATATAAAGATTTCACAACCGAAATATCGCTGTTCTGCAACACTATTACCATCGACGTAAGGAGACGCATTCGACAAAGCGATACAGTTTCGCCATAATTATTCACTGCCAGTCTCGAAAACGTCATGCGAACATTAGGATGATACGATATGGGAGTGAAAATTGATGGTTGGCAACTGAACCATCTTCTCTTATCTGATGATATCGCCCTCATAACACCAAGCATCAGCCAGGCGGAAGAAATGTTGTCCGATTTCGACAACAGCTGTGGAAAGATTGAAAATATAATGAACGACCTAACTCCAGAGTTGAGAGGATGAAACGAGCGGCTTGAGGAACGTTTTAAAGCGTCAGGATGTAGTGAAAAGAACAAAGAGCATCCGACTCCGTACCCATCTTTTCGACTCGACCATTATCCCTGCCCTAACGGCAAACCTGTTCCCTACGTAAGCAGGACGAAAGATCACTTGGTATTATGAACGCGTTTCATCCATTCCGGGTTCGTATTCATCCATACGTATTTTTACTCGCCACTCTGTTCTCTTAATTATGTATGAAATATCATAACACTGCGAAAAATGCTGTAAAAACACTAGAAAATTGGAGCATTTAATGCCTCAAAAATCGAATTTATTGAGGAGTCTTCTAGGAAAGTTTCTTCTTTACTGCAGACATCGCCCATGCATCTTAATATTAAAAAATTGTTGAAAGTTATTGGCAAAGTGACATTGCATACAGTGGGCAACGTTACTTTCTAAAGACTTTCATTGTCTTCTAATTTTCGTTCCCTACTTTTCACTTTTCGATATCGCCATGAACAAAAAATTTTGAAAA